CTCCCCACCCCTCTCTCTCTCACACACTGGACAGTCCACTCCCCACCCCTCTCTCTCTCACACACTGGACAGTCCACTCCCCACCCCTCTCTCTCACACACACTGGACAGTCCACTCTCCACAGCTCTCTCTCACACACACTGGACAGTCCACTCCCCACCCCTCTCTCACACACGCACACACTGGACAGTCCACTCCTCACCCCTCTCTCACACACGCACACACTGGACCAACACAGTGTCCAGAGAGGTTGGGTGAGGAAACCTCCGCACACAGTAGAGGGTAATCTACCCTCTGCACCATGCAGGTCACTGGGAACAGGGGTCCTGGTTGCTAAGACCCAGACCACTAGGAACAGCTGGAGCTGTAGAGGTTTGGACACCGTCCTCTGTCGGAGCTGAAGACCCAGGGTGACGTGTGCGAGGCTCTTACCTGCCTCCTGCACCTTCTCCACCGCCTTGGTTATCTCAGCTTTCAGTGCCTCCGTCTCGTCCGCCGACACCGAGGCAGCCACAGGCACCACTGCAGGGCAGACAGGACAGGCCTGTGAGACTCACAGCCCCTGTCCCACAGGCAGAACGCAGCAGTGCCATACTGGCCACAGTAGCAGTCACCAGGACTCCTACCACAACAAGGCCCTGCTGAGCCCAGAGAAGAGCCCCCTCAGCCAGCTGGCCCTGAAGCTCACCAACGCCAGAGCCAGTCTCAGGACAGAACGGCTACAACTACAGGACTCTGTATCTAATCAGGTTAACGACAGTAAAGAGAAACAGGCCCTGACAAAGTACAGGATCAGTGACCACAGCCTGGCCACAAGCTGACCAGGCTATCCAGAGAGGACGGGCTCAGTGACCATAGACTGTCCTCTCTAGGCAGTCAGGTCTGCCTATACTCCCACTGGCAGCAGGGAGAAACAAGAGACAAAGATGCACTTTCTACTACACATATATTCTGGGACTAGACAAACATTTTTCTCTAAAATAACAATTCCCACAATTTAGAATTCCCACTCCTGCCAGAATCAGAACAGTTTCCAATCCTACTGGGGGAGGAAACTCGCTGGAGCTGCAGCCCAGTGTCCTGTCACGAGAGGAGCAGGAAGCCAGCCTGGCCATCGGCGCTACCTGTGAGCTGTGCCACCGCGCTTGCGGCCAGCGCCTCCGTCGCCAGGGTCACAATCTCGTCAGTCGTCACGGTGACGATGTTGACCTCGCTGTCGTCCAGCTCCTGTGCAGGATTCCCGGGCACCAGCTTCCTCATGCCGGCCTTGCCCTGGTGCACGGTCTTGACGTGGGAGCGCAGGTTGTCCACGCGGTTGAAGCCCCTCCCACACTTGTCACACAGGAAGGGCTTCTCACCTGGAGGGGAGGCGGAGAGGTTACTTCCCCATGAGCACAGACACATGGCACAGGGTGGCGATTCTGTCCCAGTTGCACACAGATATACACAGATGGAAACAGAAGCACACAGAAGCACACAGGTGCACACGGCTGGTCAGGGAAGGCCAGAGAGCTGGCTGTGCCCCAGCCCCTTCCTGGGCACTGACCTGTGTGGATGATCACGTGCTTGGACAGGTCGCCCACGTTCACGAAGGCCTTGTCGCAGACGTGGCACTTGTGTGGCCGGATGTTGTCGTGGTGGCGGATGTGGTTGGCCAGCTGGCTGGACTGGACAAACCTGGGGGCGGGGAGGTGGTCAGTGAACATCAGCTCGGACCCCCAGATCGTGTCCCTGCCACGCCCCGGGGAGCCCCGGCCTCACCTCTTGCCACAGCGGTCGCAGACGTACGGCTTCTCCCCAGTGTGCTGGCGCACGTGCGCGATGAGTGAGCTCGCCTGCGTGAAGCCCTTCCCACAGATCATGCACAGACACGGCTTCTCCCCTGAAACCACAACAGCGCCCCCTTCAGGACACACTCTCATACTGCTGCATCCAGTCAGCTGCAGTTTCACACCCGAAACTTTTCAGACGCCATGCAACCATTTTTTTTACAGCTGGAGAGTAGGGCAGCTGAGCTCAGGGGTGCCATGAAGCCCCGCTGCCAGCCCTGCACTATGTGACGGGGTGCACGGGGTACGTGGGGTTGCGGGGTCACTACCGGTGTGGATGCGGACGTGGCGCTGCAGGGCTCCGGGGTCGGCGAAGGCGCGCTCGCAGTGCATGCACACGTAAGGCTTCTCGCCGCTGTGCACGCGCAGGTGTCTCTTCAGGTTGCCTGGAAACAAGAGGGTCCGGCTCGGTCACTGCAGCACATTCATCTGCAAACGTCCTGGTCAGTCACACGGTGATCAACTGCTGAAGCACCATTCTGGTCAGCTTTCACATGGCCGTCCTGCAGCTTCCGTACTGCTCC